CTTTATCTAATCCACAAGACATAGCTAATGCGTTTGCGAGTTATTATCAATCGCTATACAACTTAAAAGATGACCCCCTGACACAACGCAACCAACAAACCTCTCAATTGACAATTTCTTAAGCCAAACTGAACTTCCCCATCTTACACCTACTCAATTGACCTCCCTCTCTGTGCCGATTTTACCTGCAGAGATTGAGAAAATCATAACTAAACTCCCCATGAACAAATCTCCGGGAAACGACGGATTTACTAATGAATTTTATAAAAAGTTTGCGACTAATCTCAAATCACATCTATCTGACCTTTATAACCACGTAGCTTCTAAAGGAGAATTTCCTGCTGATATGCTACAGTCAATAATCTCTACTATCCCAAAACCGGGTAAAAACCCCCAATTAGTCCAAAACTATAGACCAATTTCATTACTTAATACGGATCTGAAAATATATGCCAAAATAATAGCCCAACGACTCCTTCCGTACCTGCCGACGCTGATCAAAGCGGATCAGGTGGGATTTGTACCAGGTAGACAGGCCCCTGATGCGACTCGTCGACTTATATCATTAGTAAACCTTCTTGAATCAAACAAACAACCTTCAATTCTCCTATCGCTTGACGCAGAAAAAGCGTTTGACCGCATTCACTGGCGTTTTATGTCATTAACTCTTCAAAAACTTGGTATTACGGGTTGGATATTATCAGCGATTCTATCCCTTTACTCCAAACCTTCAGCCAGAGTCCTCACTAATGGTACGCTTTCACAACCATTTCAAATATCTAATGGTACTAGGCAAGGCTGTCCCCTATCCCCTATAATTTTCGCCCTACTAATAGAACCACTAGCATCCAACCTTAGAAATGACTCCGATTTTTCAGGGATTAAATTTTCTCAGCAAGAACACAAAATCAGTCTTTTTGCGGACGACATTATCCTAATGATTACGAACCCCTGTAAATCTCTCGCCTCAATCCGTTCACACATACAAAAATATGCAGATGTATCCTATTACAAACTAAATGAAACCAAATCTTCAATTTTAAATCTTCATACTCCTCCACAGACCCAAGCTCGCCTTGAAAAACAATTCCCCTTTAAATGGGAAAAACACAGTATCCCCTATTTGGGGATTAAACTTACTTCCACAACCAATCAACTCTATGCTGAAAATTTTAAACCCCTAATAGATATCATACCACATGAGCTTAGGAGCTTGCGCACAACCACGCTATCAATGCTAGGTAGAGTAGCGGCTATTAAAATGTGTATATTGCCAAAGATATTATATATCTTTCGTACATTACCTATATCTATACCCTCCTCCTTTTTCTCCGTAATGCAAAAAATTCTAAATAAATTTCTATGGAATGCCAAAAGGCCCAGATGTTCTACAAACCTTCTGATCCGTCCGCCTTCCAGAGGAGGAGCTGGTCTCCCACATTTAAAATCTTATTATCAGGCGGCTCTACTAGACCAGCTCTTCTACTGGTGGCACCCTACTCAGGAAAAAATCTGGACCACTATGGAACCTTACAGATATCCACAAGGTGCCTTAACAGATTTGCTCTTCATGCCTCGTACAACACTGATTGGACATACTTACACACATCCATGTATCCAGGCTTCACTAACAGCTTGGCATGAGCTCTTGACAAGCACTCATTCACAGAAAACTAACATACACATCCCGACCCCTATTTCCGCTCTGCAATTTCTCTCTCCCAATTTAAATCTAAAGGCCTGGATAGAGTTAGGTATTAATCATATCCAAGATATTTTTGCTAACCATGGACTCGAATCATTCCAGACACTGCAGAAAAAATTCCATCTTCCTAATACGGAACACTTCACTTTTCTGCGAATATTCCATTTGCTTCATAAAATGGATATTCCTGTTAAAATAGACCTCCCAGCTACTGCTCATCATTTCCTACATAAGACCAATTACCCAAAGAAAGGGATCTCAATTTTTTATACGTTACTTACTGAAGCATATTTCACGACCCACTCATCATCCCTTACTAATTGGGAGAAGGACTTCCTCTCCCCAGTGACCCCTCATACATGGCAAATGACTTTTGTCACTACACACAAAGCTTCGAAATGCAGCTCCCACTGGGAATCATATTTAAAAATTCTCCACCAATGCTACTTGACCCCTGCCAAATTATCCATCTATTATCCGCAGCAATCAAAAACCTGCTGGAGACAATGTGGTGAAACCGGTTCACTCTTACATGTGTTATGGTCTTGCAAGTCCCTCAAATCATACTGGAACAAAGTGTTCCAATTGATTTCCTCAGTTACAAACTCACCTACGATTCTTGACCCGGATTAGCGCTTCTACATCTAACGATAGAACAATTCCCTGTACGCTCACGCACTATTATCATACACATTCTGGCAGCAGCCAAGACTAACATTATGAGGCTTTGGCGTTCTACTGCACCTCCTCTACTAGCCCGTCTCATTGCTGACCTCAACTTGCAATGTGAGATGGAGAAAAGAGCGGCCTTTCGAAACTCTTCTTATCACAAATTCACTTTAAACTGGTCTCGATGGCTAACACATCCCAATTGCTCAATCACATGATTACGAACCTTATCCCTAGGACATGTTGAATTTGCAGAACATCGGTGCCCCTTCTTCCCCCTTCCACTCTTTTCTATACCCGTTTTCACCCTCTGTTTAATACTCTCACGGTTTTCTACTTCTTATGATGGTTCACGATCTAATGAACATACCTCTCTTATAAGTATGAATCTGTTAAATGAACATCCAGCCGGATGGTGGGTGTTTTGTACCTCACTCTCATTATTGTCCAATGTTTCGTTTATGTGAACCCTACATTTGATTATATCTCGATATTACGTGTTTGTTTAAAAAACTTTCAATAAAAAACTATTTGAAAATAAAAGACAAATTTGGTCATTACCACATGGGATTTTGCTAATATGGAAAGGCCATCTACACCAAAAACACTATTTTCACAGTTTTCCAGGGGCCCCCAGAAAGCCTTAATAATGGTATCCAGGGCTTTGGTCCAGCTAGAACATGGTGTAACGGAGTTCTGCTACCTCCAGGATAGGCTCTATGCTCTCTGCTCACTACTGTCACTTCTGAACACAGAAACCTGGCTTCTGTATTTAGAAGTGACAGCACTCCTGTCCGGACCACTGCTCTGAACCCTCCCTGGGTGCAGCTTGTGTCATGTACAGAGGGGTGCCAATGGCATCACTAATGCTGGGCATCCAGGCCTTGCCTTGCTCTGATTGTTGGCACCCACAGCATCTCTCACCGCCAACATCCACCAGTCACACTAATGTAACAGAGCCAGGGAAGCTTCTACTAGGCTCTAACATGTCTTATGCCAGATCATGAGGAGGAGCCTGGGAGGAAGAACATCTCCTGCCCTGTATCAAGCTGCAATGCATCGGAGGTCTGTGTTGGGAGGGAAGATTTAAGGGGGAGAAATAAAAGCATTTGTACAGGAAGGAGGATGGGGGGCTGGGAAGGGAACAGGATTTACATCGGGAGGAATAATAGGGGGAATTGTTTAGAAGTGGGAAGACAATCATGTCAAGGATGGGGATTTGGGCATAGAACCCTGCACTCTGTACATAGCACCCTCCTGAACTCTGTATTCTATATGTAGCACCCTCTTTACCCTTCACTCTGTACAAAGCACACTCATGAACGCTACACTCTGTACAAAGCACATTCATGAACGCTACACTCTGTGCAAAGCACACTCATGAACGCTACACTCTGTGCAAAGCACCCCCCTGAACGCTACACTCTGTGCACAGCACCCCCCTGAACGCTACACTCTGTGCACAGCACCCCCCTGAACTCTACACTCTGTGCACAGCACCCCCCTGAACTCTACACTCTGTGCACAGCACCCCCCTGAACTCTACACTCTGTGCACAGCACCCCCCTGAACTCTACACTCTGTGCACAGCACCCCCCTGAACTCTACACTCTGTGCACAGCACCCCCCTGAACTCTACACTCTGTGCACAGCACCCTCCTGAACTCTACACTCTGTGCACAGCACCCTCCTGAACTCTACACTCTGTGCACAGCACCCTCCTGAACTCTGCATTCTATATGTAGCACTCTCATTAACCCTTGACTATATACCTAGCACTGTCCTGAACCCTGCAAAGTACACTCCTGAACTCTACACCTCTGTACACAGCACACCCCTGAACGCTACACTCTGCACAAAGCACACTCCTGAACTCTGCACACTGTATGTAGTGCATCCTTGGCCACTGTATGTAGCACACTCGCTCACGCACCCATTTCCTGCGACATGCTCAACTCTCCCCCCCCTTCCCCAGGTGGAGGCATGTTTGAGTTCCTGCACCTATTCTCCAAGAAAAAAAAAATCCTGATGGCATCACTCTCACAGCTGGATACTCGTTATTTTTTTATTATTGTAGATTAGAAGGAATTTAAATTAAAGCGTGACACTGTCATTTGGCCTTGCATTGCCTGTGGTACCGGAGTACTTTGAAAGTCATACCTCAATACTGGATCATCTGAAAAATATATAGGGTGCAAGAATGTGATTGAGCTTATGCAAAACCACAACTTTAGAGTGAGTTTAGCCTTAAAATAATAAAAACTTCAAAAGAAGGTCTACCTGTAAAGCAAATAATGAATACTTTCCACATTCTTCACTCTCGTGAACCGCTGAGGCTTCCTGAAGAATCTTTATCATCTGATACTTTTGGTAGTGCCAGATGCCTTGGTGTCCTCGGTTTGATCTGTTGGCCTCCACACAGGACACACAAAGGACTGAATGCTGAAAAATACTTCAGCAGGCTACAGCTCCTTCAGATAGTGAAGATAAGAGGCAAGACAGGAAAGTATTATTTATATTTTTTTACAAGTAGACCTTATTTTGAAGTTTTGGTTCTAGCTACAGAGTCATTAAGTGCAACTATACAAACAAAACCAACATGGACAAAATCAGTCTTCAACAGGCACTACACAGTGGTGATTGTGGTCAACGTTTTTTCTGATGTTATTTGGTTGTTGGATTTTCCGTCAGTAGACACAGCTGAGGCATCTGTAATGTTATTCTCCACCTTGGTGGTCTGAACAGTGGTACTGATGGTAACCTCGGTCTTGGTACTTGATGTGATGGTTTCTTTCAAGGTGGTTGTTGACACCTTGGTGTCAGATGACGGCAATGCCTCCACAGTTTGGGCCATGGTTTCTGGTGCAATAATAGTCACCGAATTTTCTTTCTTCGGTAGCCAAATGGCTGCATACAAGGGTTCAGCAAAAGTTCCCTCAAACTTATGAAGGAGTGTCATTGAGTCCGTCACACCATAGAATGCCACGGTTCCTCTCTGGTGGTCAATATAGACACCGATCCTTGAGAACTTCCCCGATTTTATTAGAATCTCTACATCACTGTGCCAGGCTGAGAACTCTTTGCCGTTCCACTTTAAAGTCCAGGAGAAGTCGTTGCCTGTTATGGCGCTGTTGCTCTCTGACCCCTTCCTGTCGATACATTTGTAAGTCACGCCGATGTAGAAGAGCTCACCTTTGAATTCGACTTCGAAATAGTGGCGGCTCATGTAAAAACTTTCTGCGCTGAGGACCTGGCGGAAGTTATCAAATCGTTCTGGACAGTCAGGGTAAGACTGCTGCCAAGGGGAAGAGTTGGAGACTTTGCGGTTGTTTTGTATTAGTCTCAGGAAACAGTGAGCTGTCGCTGAGTCCAATGTAACATTCGATTTATCTGCAAGGGTAGAAGGAAGGAAAAACAAAACATGCATAAATATAATTTTACATTTATTAAAACTAGTATAAAAAAAAAAAATAAATAAAAAGGTGAATACCAGTGAAAACTGCCCAAAGAAAAAAATAAAAACTCCAAGGCAATATTATATGTCCCAGATCTTTCCAGAATAACCCAACCCCCGATGAAGGGGTTGAACCTCCTGAAATGGGTTTGCTGTCATACATTTAAGGAAACCTTTGTTGTGGATAATAAATATTACTGTACTGACATCTATACCTTGGCGTTGTCCTCCATTCACCAACACATTTAGCTATCCCAGGGGAGTATATTGGTGATCAGTGGAAAGAATGCACCTTACATTGGTGGCCAGTGGCGAGAATGTCCCTTACATTGGTGGTCAGTGGGAAGAATGTTCCTTACATTGGAGGTCAGTGAGAAGAATGTCCCTTACATTGGTGGTCAGTGGGAAGAATGCCCCTTACATTGGTGATCAGTGGGAAGAATGTCCCTTACATTGGTGATCAGTGGGAAGAATGTCCCTTACATTGGTGGTCAGTGGGAAGAATGCTCCTTACATTGGTGGTCAGTGGGAAGAATACCCTTACATTGGTGATCAGTGGGAAGAATGTTCCTTACATTGGTGGTCAGTGGGAAGAATGCTACTTACATTGGTGGTCAGTGGGAAGAATGCCCCTTACATTGGTGGTCAGTGGGAAGAATGTCCCTTACATTGGTGGTCAAAGGGAAGAATGCTCCTAACATTGGTTGCCAGTGGGAAGAATGCCCCTTACATGGTGGTCAGTGGGAAGAATGACACCCTTGCAATCATACTGCTGGTTCTGCCCAGTGGAGTTGGACCTGGAACTAAGCAGGCACCACCAGATGGGAGGCCAGTTAGCCACAGCTCAAGGAACCCCTAGTCACCCATATAAGGCTATCTTTGGGCACCAGAAAGAGTCTACATAATGCAATAACCATCTTATTCAAAAAGGAACCCTTACCAAATTTGGAGTCCAGCGTCACTCCACCTCAACCTCAAAATTTCCACGCAGGACCACCTTAAACCGCCTGCACAACAGTTTTTATTTTTAAAGCATGCTAAAGACCAAAAACCAGGTGAAATTCATTATTCCACAATGAAACTATGGCCCACTCCTCCTGCCCTTTGGGCTTTCCTATTGTATGCTAAATGTGATGCACTGACTGAAAGGGAGGTGTGGGAGGCAAGATGGGCATGTAGGCAGGTGTCTACAAAGTAAACTTTTTTGTGAATAATCGGTTAATGTCTGGTGTTGTAGGGGTTAAATGCTTAGTGCTGTGACTTGCCTTCGCTTGCATGACTCATTTTCTGCTTCTGAAGTGATTTATGCTGGAGAAGACCTGGACCTCTTGGTCTGTCTGTCCAGGGATGGGAATCAGTCAGTAACAAGGGCGGACTGACAACTCATGGGGCCCTCGGGCAATAGGGGATCATGGGGCCCCTGTGTCCTTGCTCAAACTCCAAAAGGCCTATGAAAAAGGTACCAGGGGCATCTCATGGGGCCCCCTACTTACCTCTGGCCCTCGGGCAGTGCCCAAGTTTCCAAATGGTCAGTCCACCCCTGGTCAGTAAGGATGGTGCAAGGATGTAATTTACAGTGAAGTTCCTCTTTATCATCTCTCCACACCCTCCTCTAGTCCCCTGCCTGATTAGGTTACCCTTCTTAAAGAGAAGTATCTCTGCTGGACAGTCCTGGATGGGTGAGTATCTAAAATGTGCTGATCTTACCACCATTAAGGTAAGGGTTACAAAAAAAGGAGATTTGGAGGTTGAAAAACAGCTTTAAGTGAATTGTCTGGTCTGAATTACTTGATAAGAGTGTGTGCTTACAGTGCATTGAAGAACTGGGGGGATAAAGTGTACCATCCCTGCAGGTTATAAAATGAAGCGTATATTACAATTAACCCTTGAGGTTATGGAGCATGAAGTGCAAGAAGGAGAAACAGCCAGCTTGTGAGAAGGAGCAAGGGTAGCCAGTGATGGAAGTTCTCTAACAGAGTTCTGTTCCCCAACGGACCCCAAGTTAGGAACCTAGCCGCAGGTAGGGGTGACCTGGCACTTGGCATACCCTACCAAGAAGCTAGGTCCCTAACTTAGGGCCTGCTGCAGAACAGAACTCTGTTAGGGACTAAGCGTGGAACCAGATGTGTGCAAGACCTTGTGAATGAAGTGCAGTTTCTCCACTCTTTGCCTTTGTGCTGAACATGAAGTGTACAGTTTTGTGAAGAACTGTTGGAGGGCAATCCATGCTCAGCACTATTTCCCTCAAAATGTCTCTGTAGTCAGTGCTGGGATAGGTGTCACTGACAGGAGATGTGATCCTTCTCTGTGTGGGGCTTGGTAAAATAGTTTGGCATCTGGCCATGAAGTGACGCTAGCCCACCTGTGAGATGATGCCAATGTAACAGCATGCAGTTCCCCCCATGCCTTCAGGCAGACCAAGGATTGGCTGTTAGAGCCCTGGTTGAAATCTGAGTAACACGTTTCCTTGGGTTTTCCATCTCATGGGTGTACTGAGCAGAAATAGCTATACAGGCAGGGGCGGACTGACCATTTGGAAACTTTGGCACTGTCCGAGGGCCCAGGGTCAGTAGGGGGCCCCATGAGATGCCCCTGGTACCTTTTACATAGGCTTTTTTGAGTTTGGGCAAGGACACAGGGGCCCCATGATCCCCTATTGCCCAGGGGCCCCATGAGTTGTCAGTCCGCCCCTGGATACAGGTGACTGCAATATGTTGCAAAGTGCATGGTTACATATCATAAAGCCAAACTAAACCCTCCTATCATTTTCAGCCAAGGAAGCTGCCATCTTGGCCTCCATTTGATCTTCAACTGCCATGATGTTGCACATGTGATCAGTTGTGACACCAGCTTTTTGATGGTTTGACAGTTTGGTTGAGAGCACAAGCAAATGTGACAGTTAGCATTCCTGACATGCCGGAAATGTAACCGTTTTCTGAAACTGTTAAATAGGTGGCTTTAGATCCGCTTTAACCCCTGGTGAGGGTGGTGCCGCTGTGGATCCACACAAAAATCCGTGCAGCCGCACCACCCGCACAGAGAAATGCGGACCCGCGGGCGGGTGCCATTGGTTCCAATGGCACGCTGCCCGCACTGGAAAATGCAACCGTACTACGAACCGAGGTTCCCGTGCAGGCTGCGTTTTCCAAAGAAGTGCAGGGACTTCTTCCCTGCGTGTCACAGGAGTACATTCAAATGAATGGGCTCTCGTGCCCATGCAAAACATGGCCTTCGGCCGCATAGATGCAGGGGCGGACTGACAACTCATGGGGCCCCCGGGCAATAGAGTATCATGGGGCCCCTGTGTCCTAGCCCACTTCTCAAAGCACACCCAAAAAGCCTATAAAAAAAAGGTGCCAGGGGCATTTCATGGGGCGCCTACAGACCCCGGGCCCTCGGGCAGTGCCCGAGTGCTCGAATGGTCAGTCCACCCCTGCATAGATGTGAACCGGAGGTTAAAGCTGAATTCCAGGCATGAAAAATTTAACTCAAATATATTCTTCAACAACCACAAAGGATATAAATCCACCAAATGCCTTTACAAACCCATATATTACCTTGTAAAATAGCAGTGACATAATCACTGTACTGTACATATCCTGTGCAGACAGCAAAGTTGTGGGAGAAACCCAGCAGGCTCCACCCACTACAGGCTGCCTGCAGAAATCTACAGGAGGGGGCGGAGACAAGACTAGTCACCCTGCACAAGGAGAGAAAGCGGAGCTATGGGAGGTGCCCAGCAGACTCCACCCACTACAGGCTGCCTGCAGAAATCTACAGGAGGGGGCGGAGACAAGACCAGTCACCCTGCACAAGGAGAGAGCACAGAGCTATGGGAGAGGCCCAGCAGACTCCACCCAGGGGCGGACTGACAACTCATGGGGCCCCCGGGCAATAGGGGATCATGGGGCCCTTGTGCCCTTGCCCAAACTCAAAAAAGCCTATGAAAAAGGTACCAGGGGCATCTCATGGGGCCCCTTACTGACCTTGGGCAGTGCCCAAGTTTCCAAATGGTCAGTCTGCCCCTGCTCCACCCACTACAGGCTGCCTGCAGAAATCTACAGGAGGGGGCGGAGACAAGACCAGTCACCCTGCACAAGGAGAGGGAGCAGCAGTGAGCAGACTTTATTATAGGAAGTCTTACAATGGATGACTGCACAGATCTGGAAGAAATACACAAAGTTCACCGAGATTCTAGAAGAATTCACATGATATATGGATTTAGACAATTTTTTTTTATCCCAGAGTTCAGCTTTAGCCCCCTATTCTTGGACAGCACTCAACCCGAAACAGTTGGAATATAAAAGTTAGGGACAGCTACAATTATGTCTCATTTATGTTCAATAAGAATGATCTGTATTGCCGTACAACAAACAATGGGATTAAGTCCATTTCCAGTGCAAATCTGAATATGATTGGCTGTTATAGACAAATAAAGTTCTTATCACGACACCTTTATAAACACACTATGGAGTTTCTGTATATACCGAGTGAATATTCAATGTCTGTTGAAAGGTTCTGCAAACAAAATTGCAACATTTTGCATTTATGAGTTTGTAAGATCAACAGAGGAATTGCTTCGCAGAGTTCATTATAATGTATTTAAAGTCACGTACTCCACCCAGTATCACTACACGATGTGCTCAGATAAGAATAATCTGACTGTCAGGGTGACCTACATACAGCCCAAGGTGTACAGTTACAGCGTGAACAACCACAGTAACCTGAGGAATCGCATTGTTACAAGGAAACAATGGAAAATTCACGCACTTCTAGACCTGGCCATCTGTAAAGACCCCATACAGGAAATATTTTAGGGCTCATTCGCACCATGCACAGTGACCTGCATTTTTTCACACCATGAATACAGGTCACTGCAAGAGCACATAGAAAACAATGATTTCCTATGTGCCTCACTCACACCACAATGTTTTGTGCATGGGCATTGCATAAAAATGCAATGTCTCTGTCTTTATTTCAAATGCAATGAACATGAAATGCAAAAACTACACTGAACTTTTTTTTTTGGTAACTGAACTTTATTGAAAGTAATGATACTAAAGAAAAAAAAAAAAAAGACATAATTGACAGTATTTTGCCCCATCCAGGGATCTGTCACTTCACTAAGGGTGACCTAAAAAAGCATGTCAACTATAGGCATGTGCCTGGGAAAATCTGTGCCACACCCTAATCGGCATCAATTTCCCCTGCTGGCCAAATTTTTTGTTTACATTTATTTTAAAACGTGTGCGTATATATATATATATATATATATATTTATATATATACTGTACATAAATAATATGAGATTCTGCCATTAGCAGTGTATGAAGTGTGGGGCCCATACCATTATGTGGTGCGCTCACTCTTTTTGGTACAGTTGCCTTTCCTCATAACCAGAATCAGGGAAATTTGCTGATAAGCAGCAAAATGAAGACTTTAAATGCTCCTATCATCAGATATATTTGATGACATCATGTGGTTTTCTCATCATGATCCCACTATCCCTTGCAGCTGCACTAAGTTGCGCCTTTATACTACCTCCCGGCCCTTTAAGAGTTTCAGATGCCGGGAGGCGGGGCGTGGTTTTGGGATCATGTGACCGCCGTGATGCGTCATCACGGTGGACACATGATCGGGAAAGGTCCCGATCGAAAGAGCGGACCCGGACCTTTCTGTGAGTAACACACGTGTGCTGGGAGCACGTAGGGTGCGTGCTCCCAGCACATATGTTTTTTTCGTTACATGAACGCAAATGTGCAGCAGCTCGACATCTAGGCCCAGACGCCGGGAGGCTGCACATTTGTGTGCGGCCGGCGTAAAGCGGTTAAGGGAACTTGTTCAATCCCCAGGCAGGCGGCCAGGCATGGTGACCAAGGTCAACCCTTGGTGCCTATCACATTATTGAGCTAATATGGCCACATGTCCATATTAGATCAATGTTATTGACCCAGTCACTTATGTCATGAGTATTCACACCCCGATTATGTATGTGCAGCTGCAGGGAATCCACTGCCCATAGCTGGTTGGCCCGGCACTGACAGCTTCCTTCCGGGTTCAGTCAAAACATCCCTAGCCCTGATTGGAAGATTTCCCCTCTAATCCTTTTCTGGTGACAGCTGTAACATTTTAGTGTTCCTATCACTTACTGTCTCAGTGACAGGACCAAAAAAAAAAAAAAAAAACAAAAAAGGAGTATGAGTCCACCTGGCAGGAACACAAAAACCAGATAGGGGTTCTCATACTTCCCTATTGAAAAAAAGTTTTGACCACATATAAAAACTTTAATATATGACTTGGAAGGCTTGGAAAGAAACAGATCCGGATCACCATCAAATAGCTCATGCAGAATCTGCCAACACCACCCTTCTCTGAATACAGATATTCATGTTGGCAGCAGTGCCACCTGATCCAAAGTCTATTTTCTTTAGAGGAATTAGAATTTCTTTAAAATCACTCACATTTTAGGAACTCTTCTCTTGTCGTGGGCTCCGGAGCCGATATCCTGTGATTTGCAGGGACTATAGCCGACACCACGTTCTTAATCAGAAGCTCATCTGAAAAATGTAACAAAAATGAGCAATATTCATGGAGTCTCTTCTATATTTTAGATCAGCATTTCTCAACCATTTTTCAGTCATGGCACCCACTAAAAAGGTATGCGCAATCCCAAAGTACCCCACTCTGAAATGTAACGAACCTAAATGTTTATCAATGGGAAACCTGAGCCTGGGATAATGTACACAACCATCCCAGAAGAAGCTCCCCTTTTCCTCTGAGGTCCCCCCATCATATCAGAGCCACCCCTTCATATTAGAGGTCCCCCCATCACATTATAGGTACCCCATCACATGCGAGTTCCTCCCATCACATCAGGGGCCTTCATCACATCAGAAGTCTTCCCATCACATCAGATCCACCCCTTCATATTAGAGGTCCCCCCATCACATCAGAGGTCCTCCATCACATCTAAGGTCCCCCCATTACATCAGAGCCACCCCTTCACATTAGAGGTCCCCCCATCACATTAGAAGTACCCATCAAATGTGTGTTTCCCCATCACATCAGAGGCCTCCATCACATCAGATCCACCCCTTCATATTAGAGGTCCCCCCATCACATCAGAGCTCCCCCCATCACATCAGATCCACCCCTTCATATTAGAGGTCCCCCCATCACATCAGAGCTCCCCCCATCACATCAGAGCCACCCCTTCTTATTAGAGGTACCCCATCACATGTGAGGTCCCCCCATAACATCAGAAATCCTCCCATCACATCAGAACCACCCTTTCACATTAGAGGTCCCCTATCTTGTTAGAGGCCGCCCATCACATCAGAATCTCCTCACATACATTAGAGCCCCCCTCCCATAAATGAGTTCCCCCATCACCAGTCCCCACTTCACATCAGAGCCCTATCTTGGCAACAGGCCAAGTGGTAAAGGAGGTCTTCCTCTGAATGCATGGGGTGGCCCTACATGCAGCATGCCCTGAATCAGAGACGCGTGGGCAAGCCAAACGCCAACATAATAGCCAAAAATGGTGCCATACATCCTGGCCCTATAAAATCAACGTTTGTTACGGTCCGCCCTCACCATGGCAGCTCATGACATTGATCCAGAGCATACTGGATCCTGTGTTCTTTGGAACCCAGATGACAACCCAAGGTGCTGCAACACTCCGGTTGAGGAACACGGCTTTACACGGCATTATATTATTGTTATACCATAGAAGCATCGAGGAAGTGAGCGCAGAATTTCATCTAGCATGTCCACTGAAGCCCCAACTAGGACTGTAAAATATACCATGAGTGCTGGCAACGGCCAGTATAGAGCTGTAAATGTGGTCACAGTATGAGCACTTCTTCTCATTAAACAATCTGGACTTTGATCTCTAGACTAGATTGTAAAGATTGAGCTGGTCCACCAGGTCTTCAGCTGAATATGTGTATCGCAATGCATGCCACAGTTGCATGGCTCAAATTTCATGGATATGGGCGACCTTAAAGTGAAAGTCAAGGTACCAGACTAAGGTTCAGTAAAGGAACCCCTTGTATGTATATTGAAAACCTTTAAAACATAAACAGAAATTGTGAAAGGACCATAAAACCAGATCACGCAGTCCTGCTGTTCTATTTATTGTTTTTAAAGTTAAAGCCTTGGAAAAAGTAATACTGCAGAGGGTCAAGTTGGTGACCTGATGTAGTCACATGACACTAAGAGGTGGTTTGCTTTGCATGCCATAGTCATCCTATGCATTGAGTGCAATCTTCAGATCAGTAGTTAGACTTGTGCTAATTGTTATCTTATCCAGCAATGGGCAGTCATAATCGATGCAGAGGGGGCTCTGACATGATGACGTCAGTGCAGCTTTCCACATCCTGAATGTGAATGTAGGGCACTGTGCACTCACAGGAGACCTTCGGGTTTTCCAGACTGATTGACATTGGGTATCACTCAACCCAGAAGACTGAGGACACCTAGTTGTCTAACTGTGGGGGGGGGCAGCACCTGAGAGGAAGTGATATTTGCAGCCCAAGCTACTATTTTGCTTCAACCCCTTGCTGCAGGATTATGTTTTTAATATGTACAAATTTGGGCTTTAAAGCTGAACTCCAGTTATGATTTTTAGTGCATAATTACATCGGTCCAGCTTGAGTCAATGTAAGTAGACATTTTCCATATCTGTGGAACGTGTGTGTGTGTGTGGGGGGGGGGGGGGGGGGAGGTCTCAGTTACTCATTCAGTATTGCCACCTTTCATAGAATATGTATTTGTATCAATGAATACAAGGCACTCTCTGATTGTATGAGGCAGGACGATGATGTCATGAGATGTCATTTGTGGTGTTAGCCTGGTGGGCCTTGTAGGCTTCAGTTATTGGTGGTTTTGGGACCAATTTCCAGTCGGTGTACAACGGTACAAATGGGATCTTGACGGATGATTTTATCAATCCAATACCACTTTAGTACCACCATACTGACGAATCATGCCCTATACAGCTCACCTTTCTTGCATAGAGAAAGAGATCTCCTTACATATTATAACTGTTGATTACCAATGGTTGACGCAAGTTTTCTGTCTGGATCAGAATTGCTGATACGACCAGGGGCGGACTGACCATTCGGGAACTCGGGCACTGCCCGAGGGCCCGGGGTCAGTAGGGGGCCCCATGAGATGCCCCTGGTACCTTTCATAGGATTTTTGGGTGTGGCTTGAGTGTGGGTAAGGACACATGGGCCCCATGATCCCCTATTGCCCCATGAGTTGTCAGTCCGCCCCTGGATACGACTACACTTCCCCAATATATTTTATTCAACTGAAAGCTTCTATATGTGGTCCAATTGGACAGGAATCGGTGACACTGGACACGGTATATTTGTATACATTAACACTTAATGTACCTACGAGATTTGTAACTGCACAGAGTGGATCATCCCATTGGGGGTCTACACTCCCTGCAGATGTTTTTTGCTAATTGCTGCATATTCGTGTATACTCAATAAAGTAATTTTAATGAACATTGTGTAGTGCCTATAAAGTCCATTCTATGGCCTTCCCTCCCTGTTTGTTTATTTCAGTATACTTGCATTGGCTCAAGCTGGACCAATGTGACCCATACCTGGAGTTTAGCTCCACTTTAAAGGGAACTTGTGAAAATATGGGAGCTGCCATTATTAACTTTACTAGTACAAGCTCCAGGGCGGTCATCCAGAACCTGACCTCAATGGATCAATGATCTGGAACCAACAGGCGGCTGGTCGAATCTGTTGTTGAAAGTAGTTAACGATTGTGTGTGAAGTCAAGAGAAATAACCTGAGGCTTTAATTTGGAACTTTTGATTTTCCAAACCCTTAGTACTTTTCTACAGTCACGTGGACTTTTCCATGCAAAAGCGTCCCTTAAGGACATTTGAGGTCAATTAGGTCACCTAAACACAAGTTTAAATATTTGCTCACTGAAACGGTTAAGCACACGTCATGTACTGAAAGGAGCTTATAACTATCTTGAATCATAACCTGTGTTGAGATTTCTTATCTGCCCATATTAAATCTATAATCACATTTGTTTGCATGCAATGCTTGACTGTAAGGTGCAGTCAGGAATTTAACGTCAGGGTGAAGCCGAATTATGCACTACAGAGCCCTACTAACGCATGCTCTACACCCCTCTACATTTTCTTTAATGAGACATCAGGGGTCTAAAAGGGGTCTAAGAGCCCCTGATGTCTCCCCAATCCTCCAATGAAGCTAATGGAGAACAGATTATGTTCCATTAGTTTATTTCCCAGCCATATTGGCTGGGAAAAGTGACACCAGGACCCTAATACCATCAACGCCTGTACAAAGTTATCATACTTTTAAAAGAGGTATAGACTCCAGTTGTTTTGGCCACGCCTAATGTTTTTGCTATCTCTCTGATGGGTTTGTTTTGTTTTTTCAGCCTAATGATGGATTGCTTCACTGATAGTGACAGCTGTTTGGATCTCATCTTGAGAGTTGACAGCAACAGATTCCAAATGCAAATAGCACACTTGAAATGAACTCTGGACCTTTTATCTGCTCATTGTAATTGGGATAATGAGGGAATACAAACACCTGGCAATGGAACAGCTGAGAAGTCAATTGTCCCTTTACTTTTGGTCCCTTAACAAGTTGGAGGCACATATGCAAACTGTTGTAATTCCTACAATGTTCACCTGATTTGGATGTAAATACCCTCAAATTAAAGCTGACAGTCTGCAGTTAAAGAACATCTTGTCGTTTCATTTCAAATCCATTGTGGTGGTGTATAGAGCCAAAAATGTTAGAATTGTGTCGATGTCCCAATATTTATGGACTTGACTGTACACCAGGCTTCTTTACATCATGATGATTGGATTACGGAAGTTACAACAGGTCCACCATGCAGATCCAACCTAATATTATAGATCCATTCTTCCTCAAAAAACACCTTAGGCCCCCAAACTGTGACGCTTCTGGGAGGCACGGTACAGGCATGGCCAGACACCCCAACCACAGGCCTACAGGTTCTTCAGATAAAGCGGATCATGGGCACACATACTATACAGAATTAAAAAGGATCATGTCAGATCCATGTGTGTATTGCCAATGAAGCAATGTGCCAACCCACCTTCCTTTGCAAACTCTTGAAGCGTATCTGTGTACGAGGTTAACAGTAGCTGAATAAGTTTCTCTGTTGACTCCGTCACCACCTTCCTGATCCCAGACAACTTGTCTTTCAGCCCAATATAAACGCTGGGGATCGTGTCATCACCCATTGACTTCTTAAATTCACAGTATTCCTAAGAATGCAACGTAACAGGCATGTTTAGAAGAGGAGTGTAAAAACAAAGTGAAGAATCAATGTGTACATAAAAGACAATTTTTTTTTTGTTTTGGATAGAGTGATGAAGAGAGTACAGGGAAAATCTTTCAATGGGGTCAACTGTTCTGGTGACAGCTATGTCAGGAGCAGGATCTGAACCCATAACCTCTGCTACATTCTGCAGTAGCTTTCCTTGCTGTGCTACCTGAGATGCTGGACAGCATCCTGTCTGAACACTTGGATAATTTTGCCTTGTACCTTGTTTCTGATGAACCTTGAACTCCTTGCTCCTCCCATGATCTTCCCATTTAAGCCATGCCTTTGCAGTGCCTCTTTGCCAGATTATTATGCTCTCTCCAGCCGGTATCTTGCTCCTTTGCATACCTGCAGCTGTCCTTATCTCCACCATCACTCGTTACTGACCTTCTGGTACTAAAAACACAGCAAAACCCATCACCACCATCAGGAGCTCTGGTGAATACTGGTTAGTGCTTAGACTCCTCACCCTGGGTGAGCCCATCTCATCGGCCAGGGTGACCTGCTTGTGTACATATCCTGCTGGTTGATGGGGGGCCTCTCTACCACTATAGCTACTGGTCGAACCTGACCTCTGACAAGCTAAGACAGGATTTCCCCTTACTTTGCTTTTTAACCGTCCCTCATGCTACCAAGGAACTTAAAAACAAAAATTGGATTTTAGACACATTTGATGATATTAGACTAGTTGCCATAACTTATTGTACGGTACTTTTTGTCTTAATTTTTTTTGACAACTCATACCTGAAGGAAACAGGACTTGCTCTTGTGTTTTGCAATGCCCTCAACCTTGGCTTTGGCCTTCTTCAGGTCATTGCACTTATGTTCCAGGTGGGTCTTGATCCCCACAGACTGGTTGATAGCTGCCTTCTCCCTCTGTTCCAGGAATTCTAGGACTTTGGAGTGGGCTTTCTTCACTGCTTCCTGTAATTCTTCAAACTGGAGGTCAATGGACTTTCTGGCATCGGTGACAGAATTCTAAAGGAATACAGAATTCACGATAAAAAAAAGGGGCTAAAATTATCCAGTTATGGTCTGTAAGGGATTGAAAGATGTAATACACACTCTATGGCAACAAGTACGAGAACACCCTTCTAAATTATTGCGTTCAGGTGTCTCCGTTGAAGGTTATCATTGATTCGACAACATACAAAGACAACTTAGACAATTGAGCTTTCCCATCCTTGTGGTAACATTCTGGGGAAGACCATTTCTGTTCCAGCATGACTGTCCCCTGTGTACAAAGCCAGCTCCATAAAGACATGGTTTGGCCAGTTTGGTGTGGAGGAACTTGAGTGTCCTGCACAAAAACCTGACCTCAACCCTACTGAACACCTTTGGGAATAATTGGAATGGCAATTGTGAGTCAGATCTTCTCATTCAACATCAGTAAATGACCGCACAAATTATTATTATTATACAGGATTTACTGTATGTAACACCAACAGTTTACACAGCACTTTACAACATAAGGGCAGACAATTACAATACAATTTAATACAGTAGGAATCAGAGGGCCCTGCTCGTTAGAGCTTACAATCTAAGAGGCAGGATCAAGAGACACATAAAGGTAATAACTGTGGGGGATGAGCCGATGGGAAAAATAAAAGTACAGTTGTTAGGCGGGGGCATGGTAGGCCTCTCTGAAGTAAAGGGTTTTCAGGGATTGTCTAAAAGTGGACAGACTAGGATATAGTCAGACAGATTGGGGTAGGGAGTTCCAGAGGATGGGAAAGGCTCAGGAGAAGTCCTGGAGACAAGCATGGGAATAGGTGACAAGGTAGCTAGGGAGAAGGAGGTCCTGGGAGGCAGGAAAGGAACAATTAGGTCAGTATTTATAGACTAGGTTAGTGATGTAGCTGGGGGCCAAGTTGTTGATGATGGCTTTGTAAGATGTTAGTATTTTGATTCCTTGGGTGAACAGAAGCCAGTGGAGGGTAAGGTGGATGAGTCTGGCAGCAGCTTTCATGATGGACTGAAGGAGGGATAGCCTATGTAAAGTTAAGCCAATGAGGAGGAAATTGCAGTAGTCGAGGCCAGAGATGACCAGGGAATGAGCTAGATGCTTTGTGGTGTTATTGGATTGGAAGGGACATATTTTGGAGATGTTGTGGAGGTTAAGGCAGCAAGCTTTGGACATTGATTGGATGTAGGCCAAAAGGATAGTTCAGAGTCCAGGGTTACACCTAGAACCTTGGCATGCGGCTGAGCTGTCAATGTTGATAACTCAGTGGAAGGGGCACATGGGGGAGGAAATATTATGAGCGCTTTTTGGATAGATTGAATTTGAGGAAGTGTTGTGACACCCAGTTTGATATGTTCATGAATAAGTGAAACTGGATGTCACACCACTTCCTAAAATGATGTGGAGACTGATGGAGTGAGCTAAGGGGTAGAGAGATAGATTTGAGTGTCATCAGCATAGAAATGGTATTGGAAGCCATAGGAGGGTATTAACTGACCCAGGGAGGAAGTGTAGCTGGAGAATATGAGCAGTCAAAATGTAGAACCTTGGGGGACCCCAACAGAGAAAGGAAGAAGAGAAGAGGATGTAGAATTGTAAGTGACACTGAAGGTGCAGTGAGGTAGGTAAGATGAGAACCAATGAAGAGTACAGTCATGAAGAGCAAAGGATTCGAGTTTTTTGAGGAGAAGGGAGTGGCCCACTCTGTCAAAGGCAGCAGAGAGGTCTAGGAGTAAGAATACAGAATAGTGTCCTTTGGTTTTGGTTGCTAGTAGATCATTTGTGATTTTTAGTAGAGCAGTTTCTGTGGAGTGTTGAGGGTAAAATCCAAACTGAAGGGGATCAACAACGTTATTCTCAGTGAGGTAGTTGCACACTCAGTTATAGACAAGACATTCAAGGAGCTTGGAGGAAAAGGGAGCAAGTAGATGGGGCATAGGTTGTTAAGATTGGTGGGGTCCAGTGAGGGCTTTTTAAGTATGGGGTGACTAGTACATGTTTTATAGAATTAGGGAAGATGCCAGAAAAGAGGGAGATATTGAAGATGTGAGTTAGAGAGTGTAGGAAAGGCAGAAGTAACCATAGCATTTGCAAGGGAACTGGAGAAGTTCAGCAACCTCGTCTATGGTAGCGGGGCTGAATGAGGGAAGTAATGATTGTACCTGTCGACATGAATTGTTAAGTGAGGGAGATATCTGCACAGAGGAGATCTCATCACAAATTGTATCAATCTTATTTTTAAAGTGTTTGGCGATCTCCTGGGCGGTGAGTGAGTTAGTCGGTTGAGGCAGTGGAGGACAAAGTAGAGAGTTGAAGGTAGAGAAAATTGATGGGGGCTGTATGAGAAGGTGTTAATGAAAGTGATAAAATAGGTGTGCTTGGCAGTGAGCAGGTAAGAATTGTATTGTTGGAGGGAGATTTATATTGGTTGAAGTCTTTCTGAAACTTAGTCTTACGACACAGGTGTTCAAGAGCATGGCTACATTTTTGATACTTCTGGTCATGGCTGGATCTAGGGGTGTGCTATGCTCCCCCAGATTCCAGTTGCCCCCCGACCAGAGCTTCCTACTAAGGAGTCACATTCCCCCTCCAAACCGGATGCTGTGCCCAATTCCCCATCCCTGCACTGTACATGCATAGTCTGAGCAGTGGCAGCAAGATCTCCTCCTCGGCTCTTCCCAACTCAACATAGAGCTGAAATCCAACTCTCTTCCACTCAGCTATGACCTGCAGGGTAAGTAGCTGATTACCATTTTACACTTCTGACCTGTGTGATTCCCTGGTGAGAATGGAAGCATGGCTGTAGTAACCAGTTACACAAATGTGCAAATTGTAGCTGAGTGAAAGAGAATGGGATTTCAGCTCTGTTTATGTGGGGAAGAGCTGAGGAGGAGATCTTGTTGCCTGTGGTCAGATTGTGCATGTACAAGGGAGCTATGCTGAGTGCCCTCCCAGTAGTCACCCCTGTGCTCTCTGCTTCCTGGGGTGACCCCTGTGCTCTATCCTTCCAGTTGTGACCCCTGATCAAGTGGTGCTCTATCCTTTCAGCTGTGACCCCTGTCCACTGTCCTTCCAGTGGTGCCCCCTGACCTTCTCTTTCCAGCGGTGACCAATGTCCTCTCTTCTTGAACAGTGACCCCTGTGCTCTCTCCTTCCAGTGGTCACAGCATTCTCTCTCCTGCCAGCCTTGACTCCTGTCTTCTATCCTTCCAGCGGTGACCCCTGCCCTCTCTCCTGCCAGCGGTGACCCCTGCCCTCTCTCCTGCCAGCGGTGACCCCTGCCCTCTCTCCTGCCAGCGGTGACCCCTGTCGTCTGCCCTGCCAGCATTGACCCCTGTCGTCTGCCCTGCCAGCATTGACCCCTGTCGTCTGCCCTGCCAGCATTGACCCCTGTCGTCTGCCCTGCCAGCATTGACCCTGTCGTCGTCTGCCCTGCCAGCATTGACCCCTGTCGTCTGCCCTGCCAGCATTGACCCCTGTCGTCTGCCCTGCCAGCATTGACCCCTGTCGTCTGCCCTGCCAGCATTAACCCCTGTCGTCTGCCCTGCCAGCATTAACCCCTGTCGTCTGCCCTGCTGATTCCCAGTACACTGCCTTACCAATTCTTGTGCACTCTCCTGCTGACCCACTGTACACTGCTCGGCTGACTCCTGTACGCTGTCCTAAAAACTAATAGCCCCGGTACATTGGCCTACAAACTACTGATCCTATCCTCTGCCCTGCTGACCTCCTGTACATTGCCCTGCTGACCTTCCATCCTCTGCCCCCTGACATTCTTTAATGCAACCCCACATCAGCCAGGTTAAATGCGGCCCTGCTTCTGGTGTCATCTGTTTACCAAGGTTGTCAGGTTGGGGTCTGATTCTGTATGTAGTGGGGGGGGGGGGTAAGCTTGTCTAGGGAGGATGACAGTGAACTGTTGATGAAAAATGGGCACACATTTCTATAGACACCTTAAACAATATTGTGAAAGGCCTTCCCAGAAGAGTGGAGGCTATTATAGTCACAAAGGAGGGGCATATTGATGTCCAGGGTTCTGGAATGATGTTTGTGGGTCATGTCTTCTCATCCAACATCAGTACCTGACCTCACAATGGGCAAATTTCCACAGACACCGTTAAATCTCATGTAAAGAGTAAAAGAGTAACAGAGTGTAGGCTGTTGTAGCAACATGGGGGGGGGGGTTCCATAATAATGGTCATGGTTTTGGAATGGGATGTTCAACAAGCTCATATAGGTGTGATGGATAGAGGATCTGGACTGTCCTGCACTGAGTCCTGACCTCAACCCAACTGAACACCTTTGGTATGAATATGAATACCAATGGTGAGCCCAGTCTTCTCATTCAACACCAGTACCTGACCTCACAAATGGGCACAGATTCCCACAGAAACACAACAAAGAGAGGCAACTCCATAATAATGACCATAATTTTTGGAATGAGATATCCAACTCTGTATAGACATGGTTTGACTACTTTGGTTGGCATGGAGGAACTCAAGTGGCCTGCACAGAGCCCTGAACTCAACCCTACTGAACACCTTTGACATGCAAGTGTCCACAAACTCTTGGCCACATAGGCCGTATAGTATACCATTGGGCATTTTTGTTTTTAGATGTTACTTGAGATCACAACCCCCTGATGAAGCCACGTGACCAGTGGCGTAACGCGTAGGGGTGGGGCTACGACGTCACTCGGAGGAAGCCGGATCACTCAATAGACGGCAAGTGCATGACTCAGAGGCCAGCAGAGGATCTTTGATACAAGATTGCAATATATTGAACGTGTAAAATGTGAGTTCATTACTTGGAAGGTGGGAATAAAAAGGTTTTTAAAAAGGTAAAGCACTATGTCTTCAATTTTTTCCTGCATGCGGAGAGACGTAAGGAGAAGATAAATAGGAGGTCTGAGACAACATAAGGAGGGATTAATCCCTGAGGGGATAATCAGCTGATAGAGGATATCTTCATTGACCCAAAAGGAAGGATCTCTGTATTTAATCAGAAAGAG